CGGTGACGGCCGCTGTAACATCGGACACAATTAAATCGCATGGATGCATACCATATGTCCAGTGTAATATTAGGATTATTATTAATAATACTATAGAATCGTAATTTTTGTTGTAACCATGCATGTTTTGAAACACAAATATTATATTTATTTAGTATACAGTGCCTTCTCAGACTTAGCAAATGCAAGAGCCTCCCAGGAGCTATTGGTCGAGCAGCAGCCATGTTTACAGTATGAATGGTCCAGACATTTGGGATGAAAGCTAAACTAAAAAATCGTACAACGTTGCAAAGGGGGCAAGACAGGTCTTCCAATAGTCTTAGGGTGGTACAACGGACTCGTACGACAGGACGCATCATCGTACGACATGAAAATACTCGTGCAACACTCGTACTGCCTGTTGTGCAATTATTTTTCATCGCGTCAATGGCTCAAAATATCGGAGCAGCACGTTTTTTTTCCCGACCGAGATGCGACCATTTTGTCGCATCTGGATCGTATAATAAGTGGTACAACGGCTACAACGAGTCGTACAACGGGGAAAAATTTCGAGTCGCAAGCCATTGTAGTCTGTTTGGCACCAATTGTGAAAGAGGCTTTACGTCTCACGACATGTTTTATGACTCTGGTGTTGCATATCGGTGCTTGAAATAAGATTTGGCAACCCCCCAATCTCATTCATTTTTTAACTACATTAAGTGTGTGCTGTTTATACCAACCACTTTGGATTCGTCGCAATACTGAACTGTGGCACCTGTCTGACGAGCAGATAACAGTTTGCATATTATTGTTTATAGAATCGTTACATACAACCTCGTGGATTGCAGCCTCATTTATTGGTTTTAACATGGTAAGGATGCACTTGTCTCCGTTACGGTATCTCAACCTAGCAAAAACGGGAAAAACTATAATTTTTTGTCTACTGATTGCTTTAATTTGTAGTTTGGATTTGTATATATGGATTGCATCATAGGCAACAAACTCATCTTCAACTCAGACCTACTCTACTGCCTCAGACCTGTATATTAAAAGGGTTGAAGGTCGTTATGCAAGGGACAATCATGTCAGCATTTCAACAATTATTCTGGATAGTCGTATATAATATGGCACTAGACCTGCTGAAGTCATGGAACAAACCGCAACATAAGTAAACAACCACATTGTATGAATAACTGCCAGAGGATTTTACTTTTACTACAAGCCTACAGAAACAGGTGTTAAATTTTGAACAGCGTGTAGCCATTAGGCAGACATGGACATTCTAAAAAAGTAGGACATTCTAAAAAAGATATCTGCTCGAGGAAATGCTGAAGGCAGTTTTATAGAGGCCTATAGAAACTTAACTCTTTTTAATTCAGTTATATTTCTTAGATGGTCGCAGTATTTCTGTCTATCTATACACTATTTCATCAAAACTGACGACGATGATGTTATTGTGAATTTAAAGGAAATAAATTCCTCATGCCATTCGTAGGTCACGACGTTGCTGGCTTACTAATCATTTGAAGCGAATTATCCACGTTACGTTTCTGGAGCTCTGTACATTCTTTCATAAGATGTTGCAAGAAGATGTTGTAAATATATGCTGAGACATCCAACAGGGTACAGAAGATGCATTCATCCGTGTAGTCATGTGTAAGCTGAATGTTACAATGATTTGTTAGAATCACGTTGTCAAACCTTTCTGCTTACTATTTGCAGATGATGCAGCAATGTTTTCAGATACGGTGATCGGATTGCAAAGATCTCTTAAAAATATTAAGTAGTTACTGTGACAGGTGGAAAATGATTTATATATAAAATAAATTGGTCTAGTTATACCTTATATTCACTGTGTTGCATCAAAGGTCTCCTCCCTGTAACATCTATCACTTTGGTATTAGTGTCATCATTATTGTTGTTTTCCGGGGTGTGAGATTGAATAGCTGGACAGTCAACACTAAATATTGCAGCTAATCTGGCCCCGAAATGACCACCGTAGGGTATTTGTGTCGGATAATTATATACATGTATTTCGCATTGTTCATTCATTTATTAACTTTTTTCAGCAAAAATTATCGAAAACGAACAATTTAGGCCCAAATTTATACTGTAATAAATTATTATATTGTTTCAATGTTTATTGTGCTAAGGAACATTTTACTACAAACATTTTCAAAATTGTCTGCAATTGTGTCGATTTTAAAATAGCGTTCGCTAGCTTCACCCTTGTTGCTCTACTATTGAGGTCGGTATATCAGGGCATTGAAACAATACTAAAATGAAGCCTTTAAAAGTTTCCCAATTTAAAGTGCTAATCAGCACCGGCTTGAGATCATTCATATAGAAGTAAACCGGACCATACCGTACCGAACGTCAAAATCTCGGCGAGCGTCGGTTGAGTAAGTCGCTGGGGGTTAGATCGAAGTCACAGTAGAGGGCGCATCGCTCTGTAATAGAACGCGCTGTAGTGGAACAGCGCGTTCTAATAGAATGTCCGGAGCCAACTCTATTTGAGCTAATCTGCTGGTTAACACATCTCACCCAGTGAAGATGACTTCTGAAGTTATTCTTTATGAATTACACGCGAATAAGACTTTTCACTGAAGTAATAGACTTAGTATATTCACACCGAACCAATCTTCTGGCTCAGTGAACTGGTTTTAAATACTAATACTTTAATATTTATAATATTCTTAATATTGAAACAATATTGGGATTCGGATAAAAAACAATATATGACTGTTATATCCCATACCACAGAACACAATTTTGAAATATAAAGAAATCTTATCGCCATGGAAACAAATGCAAAAATAAAAGCTAACACTATAATGTTGTTATCCATCTAGACACTTTAAAATGTCATGGAAACTGACCTTTTGCTATGAAAGTAGACTGGAAGCGTCATCAACATGCCTTAAACGAATGTAACGGTATACACCTCTGATGTAAAAAAAAGTAAAAGGACGTGTTGCACACAATAAGCAGATTCACTGACTTTAATGAATGTTGTTACATTATTTAAACCCTCCAAATGCCTTTAAAACACACATTTGTGTTAAAAAATTGAATGTGCGAAGGTTAACATCATTTTGCATTTGCAGTAATATTATAGGATATCAGTAATATTATAGTTTTAGTGATTTGTATACAATAGTTGCTCAATTGGGACATTCCATTTTCATTTGTCAGATAATAAT